GAATTGAACTCAGGGCTTCATGCATGTGAGGCAAACATTCTACCACTAAGCCACATTCCCTTGGTTGATTTCAAACCACAATCCTCAGATCTGTCTCCTGAGTTATCTAAGATTACTGTACAGTACGAGCCATCATCACTTGGCTACCTGCAGGGTTTTTATTCTGGTTAACAAGACCTGTTTCTCTACTTTGACTTAGTAGTCTGTTAGGCTCTTCAGATTTTTTGCTTTCCTTTATTCTCCTCAACTGGATATACTGTTAGACCTCATGACATTGTCTTTATTGTCCTTATAAACTATGAGGCTTTTGCATGAGCAAAACTAATAGGGCATTTTGGTAAGCATATCTCTAAGGATTTCCTTGAAAACCTTTTTTTCAATCTTGTATATCCAACTACCTGTTTTTGTTTTTTTCCCTGCATGTCTAATGTGTGTTTTGCTGGTTTAGATTTTTTTTTAATTTTTATTTTTAGATACAGCTGTAGTCCAGGCTGACCTTGAATTTTGAATCCTCCTGCCTCAGGCTCAATGCTGGGATTCTAAGTGTAGGCTTGTACCACCTTGCTTAACCCACCATCCCTCCCTTTTTCACCTCCCTACTTCCCTCCCTTTTTCTCTCCTTTTTTCCTTCCTTCCTCTCTTTCTTTCTCTCTGCCTTTTTCCTTCCTTCCTCTCTCCCTTCCTTCCTCTCTCCCTTTTATCCTTCCTTTCTCCCTTTCTTTCCCTTCCTCCCTTCCTCTCTCCCTCCCTCCCCCTCTCTCTTTCTCTCTCTCTTTCTTTCTTTCATTCTCTTTCTCTCTTCTCCTCTATCTTGCTTTCTCTTTCTCTGTCTCTTATTCTTTTCTTTCTTGTTGGTCCTAGGACTTGAACCCAAGTCTTGGGTGCTGTCTTTGAGCTTTTATTTTTTTCCCCTCAAGGCTAGTGCTCAACCACAGCTCCCTTTTCAGTTCTTTTGGTGCTTAATTGGAGATAAGATCTCGGACTTTCTTGCCTGTTTTGGCTTTGAACCTCAATCCTTAGATCTCAGCCTCCATAAGAGCCACCAGTGCCTGACAGCTGTTCCGTTTTTTGGAATGAACAGAACTAATAGACTATTCATCACCAGAGGAAGGCTAAAGAAACTGTTCTATATACTATCCTTTACTTATTTTCACCATATCTTTCCCCAGTGTTCTCTATGATAATTTGAATATGTTCTTGACTATGGTTTTCCTGGACTGCACCTCATCTATTAAATAAACTCCGATTTAGAACCCCGAACAGGTGGTTGAGTCTACCCTTTGATAACCTTTTTTCCATTCTCCATTGTCACATGTTTATTTTATGATACATTTTAATATTTTTATTTCAGTGGACTCTGAGGTGGGATATGAAATGCACTGGAATATGATAAAAACTGGAATCTTAGTTTTCTAAAGAAGATGAAAATCCATTTAAGTTGGTTTGTATTTCTCTTCCCTGTCAGGATGTCTTCATCACGTTTTGCCAGTCGTCACAGAAAGGATTTAAGTACTGATATGATTAGAACAAAAATTGCTCATAGAAAATCACTATCCCAGAAAGAAAACAGATATAAAGAATATGAACGAAATAGACACTTTGGTTTGAAGGATGTCAACATTCCAACCTTGGGAGGTAGAGTTCTTGTTAACATAGATGAGACTGCTCAAGACCTTATTCCAGAGACCAGTATCAAGACAAGTAAGTAATGATCTATTGTAATTTTAAATGTTTTAAAAGAATTGGTTTAAAGCCTGTGTCTTAAAAAAGAAAAAACTAACCAGAAGAATGGAGATTGGAAATATCACTCTAAATAATTATGTTTTCTACCACTAAGCTGTTAATGTTAAGGCTGAACGTATCACTAGCTAGGTGAAAACTATTCACTTACCAAGTATATATACAGGAATTTGTTATCTAGATTGCCTATGAGGAACCTAGTACTTTCTAGAACTTGGGTAAATCTGGAGAAGGTAAATTGATAAGAAGCATAAAAATAGGCTGACCAAAGAAGCTGTGAAATAAAAATACTTTGCCAATGGAAGTATGACTTAGACTGCAGAATTCATTTGGACATGCTTAGGGGTTTGCTCAAATGATTTGGGTCCATTCAGAAGAAAAGACCCAAATAAAGAAATAAGAACCAAAATAAGAGAAGAGAACCTGATGCTAATGATGTGTGCCTATAATCCTAGCTACTTGGGAGGCTCTTCTTTGTTACACAGGTCAGCCTTAATCAGTGTGAAAGAGAACAACAAAAGGGCATTTTTCAGAATGAGACTCATTAAAGGCCAGCTTCGAGGCTTGGTAACTATACCAGTTAGTTGAAAAGTGAGATTAAAACATGCCAAAGTATAGCAAGCATTTAGTAAATATTTCTGCAAGTGAAGCGTAGAGGAAGAGACATTTTGAGAAGACTAGTGGTTCAAATATCTTCTGAACTTTTGGTTAGTATTGAAGAATTAGCAAAATTATTAGAATTATTTTGAAATAGAACACAATACTTTTTTTATGTTTTCTGTACTTTTTTTTTTTCCAGTCTTGGGGCTTGAACTTGGGGCCTCAGCACTGTCCCCGAGCTTCCCTTTACTCAAGACTGGCACTCTGCCACTTGAGTCACAGTGTTACTTCTGGCTTTTTCTGTTTATGTGGTATTGAGGAATCGACCCAGGGCTTCATGCATACTAGGCAAGCATTCTACCACTAAGCCACATTCCTAGCTCTGCTGTACTTTTTAATCTGAAATGTTTTATATACTGTGTTTGATTTTAATTTTTCCTGTTTAGGATCAATGAAAGCTATCCAAAGTGATGAACGAAGACAAATGCTCCAAAAGTACAAAGAAGAAAAACAACTTAAAAAACTGAAAGAACAAAGAGAAAAGGCTAAACAAGGAGTATTTAAAGTAGGTCTTTATAGACCTGATACTCCTTGCTTTCTTTTAACAAACCAGAATGCTCTGAAAGCTGAGGGGAAAAAGGTAAATTTGTGAATTTGTAATCTGAAATAAACTTGCTTTTTTAACTAGAATGTTCTTTATGAGATGAAGTGACTAACACCTTTCTTCTTAGTCCTTCGTTGATAGAAATTTAAATTAGCAGGTATATTTATGCTATAAATTAGTAAAGATAAAATTTAGTTTTAAATTGGGAATTTCCTTCCTTCCTTTCTCTCTCTCTGTCTCTATCTCTCTCTCTCACCTCTCTCTCTCTCTCTCTCTCTCTTTCTCTCTTGCTGGTCCTGGGGCTTGAACTCTAGTTGTGGGCTCTATCCATGAGCTTCTTTTGCTCAGGGCTAGCACTCTACCACTTGAGCCACAGTACCACTTCTGGCTTCTGAGTAGTTTACTGGAGATAAAGAGTCTTGCAGACTTTTCTGCCAGGGTTGGCTTCCAAATTCTATTCTCAGATCTCAGCCTTCTAACTAGTCAGCATTACAACACATAAGCCACCAGCATCTGGCTTGGGAATTTCGTTTCCTAATGAGACATTAAATAAACTTTTACCAGTTCATTTTGTTTAACTTGGTGTTCTTATGTCTGTTTATAGGCTATTCCATCTAATGTCCGGATTACAAGATCAAAGGCCAAAGACCAAATGGGACAGACTAAGGTGTAGTTGATACTAAATAATTGTTACTAAAATGACAGATGTTCTGTGTTGCTTAGTTTATCCCTATAATCTCAGCTACTTAGGAGGAGGTCTGGAAAGTGATTTTAAGCCAGCAGAGACCCCCAACAACAAACAAATTGGGTATGGTAGTAGTGCTAGTAATTCTAGCTACTAGGTGGGAGGATATAGGTCTTCAGCAACTAGAGGAAAGATGAGATGCCTTATCTGAAAAATAAAGTTCTTATTATTTTAGGGATTTTTTTGTACTAGGGTTTGAACTCAGGGCTTCATGATTGCTGGGCAGGTACTCTGCTGTGGCTTGAGCCATGCCTCTAGCTGGATGTAGATTTTTATTTGGGCCATCAGTAAGAGCCTTTCCGAGATAGTAGTTTTTGGGGTTAAGTCTTTAACGAAGTGAATAAATGAACTATGAAGAAGAGTTCTATTTAGGATATAATTCAAAAGTTTTTTTTATATGTATGTGTATGTGCATATAAGTGCATGTATGCCAGTACTGGGACTTAAACTCAGGGAGTTGCTCTATAGATTGGCTTTTTCCTTCACAGTTACTCATTAATAGGAGATGTCTCATAGACTTTTCTGTCCCAGCTGGCTTTGAACTTCAGTCCTCAGATTTTAGCCTCCTGAGTAGCTAGGATTACAAGTGTGAGCCATAGGATCCCCTAATATGCCTAAAGTTTTTAAGAACCA